CTATGTTCCTCTAAACATCTTGGAGGAAGAATTGAGATATAAATATAATTAATAATAAAGTAGGAGAATGGGAATGTCATAGTAGTGTTCTAACTGTTGGGAAATTTCTCCTTAGTTCTAGGTTGCTTCTCTCCTTGATTAGTTTCCATCCATTGCTTCTTGTCCTGCCTTCAAGCACTTTGGAGAATAGATTGACTCCCTCTTCTTTCTGGAAATCCCTAGATATTGGAACACTACTATGACATTCCCATTCTCCTACTTTATTATTAATTATATTTATATCTCAATTCTTCCTCCAAGATGTTTAGAGGAACATAGCATCTCCACTCCTGAATTTTAATTTGACCACTCAGTGAAGCAAAAAGAAAGAAAACTACTCTAAGGTTTGTTGGGATTGTTGACAAGTGAGAATTCCAAGTTTCAAATGATCAAAGGGCTAAGAATCAGAGAAGAGACAGTAAAGGAGGCAGAATGGGAACTAGACAATAGATAAGCAACACATAAGAGGCAGATGAGCCCATAGAAGGAATGGGAACCTGGTAAACGTCTCAGAAGGGATTCTTCCTAGTTTCTTGGATGGGAAAAGCAGGGGGGCAGGGTGGAGAGATGTATTTTCAAACTTGCAAGATTCTGCTACTGTAGCTTATAAGAAGAGTGTTAATACTCATGGTTGGTGCTTCTTGTCTGGTCTAAGGGCTGATATATGTGTATTTCTTTGGGTTGGTGTCAAAAGAAGCTCTGAAGACTTTTAATATTTCCATGATGTCCTATCAGTGCATTTATAATTACTCAAACCAAGGCAATCACTCACCAAGGAAGATATTTAACCTGTTCGGATTATCTGTATTTATAAGGTTGCTAGAGTTTACAGGATATGACCGGGTTACTGCAAAAGTATCATCTGTGTAGGTTGGAATGTAATTAGAGTCAGGGAAAGCAAAACAAAGGACATGTAACTGGATTTATTTATTTATTACACTATTCTATTGCTCTATTAGAGATTTTGTTTCCTATTTGTTGGATTTTTAATAGATTTCAATTTTATTTTTATCTATTAATGCTATTAATATAGACAAGGATAATATGCAAAGCTACTTTCTTTGATTTGCTCTACGAGGATCGCCTGAAAAGCAGTTATAAAACACAGGATGAAGAGGAAGATGCAGTAAGGAGAAAGTAAGCATTAGTGATGCACTTTGTAACTTGATGCATGGCTTATCTTAAAGGACGATCCTTACAAAATTGCTTGACTGATTATTTATTCTATTTTTATAGCTGCCCATCCCAGTCAATGACTCTGGGCATCTTATAATTCATTATCTGGGATGATTTGTCCCTGACCAATTGTGTACCCCTTAGTGCCATAATTGAGTTTATCCATCTTGATACTGGCATACACTTTTTCTCTTACCTTTCACTTTTTCCAGCTTCATAGATTGGTCAAGAAAACTAGGTTTTCACATATTGCATCTAAAAGAAGATATATACAGTATGGCTTTGGTCATTTGAGCCATATCTGTACAGATATGGATAAGACACAAAACTAACACAATTTAGGCACTTTAATCCTTAAAAAGTGGTAACCTGTAAAACAAAAGGCAATTTGGACA